ATATATATATATATATATATATATTCACGACTTGTGTAATAAGGTAAGATGACGATTTACACTACCTTACCTATAGGAAGAATTTCATGACACTAATGACCAATTTAGATGATAAATTTGTGATAAATTTACATATATATATATATATATATATATATATATATATATATATTCAAATCGATAAAATCGAGACTACTTTAGCTAAAAGGGCGGGATCACGCTATTTTTCTCTAAATTAGATGCAAATAATAGGTTTTATAAAAATCAAAATTAAAAGAGAATGCCAAGTTTTGACAACTTTCATTACAACTTTTGGCAAATTCAAATATATTCGTTTACCTTTCGGAATTAATTGCACTCCGGAATATTTCAGCTTGAAATTTAACAAAATTTTAATCGGAAATTAAAGGCGTTGTTCCGCATATCGACGATATTTCGATTTAAGCGAGTACACTGGCAGAACACGATAAGATATTGAGACAGATCTTGACTAAGGTTGCTTGCGAGGAAGTCACATTGAATAAAAGTAAATGTTTCTTTGCGGTTTCAAGAATCAATTTTTTGGGTCACTGGATTTCTGAAAAAGGAATAGAAATTGAACATTTTAGAGTGGAAGCTATTTCAAAATTCCCTAAGTCAACTTGCAAAACGTGAATTACAACAATGGCTGCAATGCTATTGCAAATAAATCGGAAATTTTAGCTCCTTTAAATGAATTACTTAAAAATAACATAACCTTCACTTGGAAATCAATTCAAAAAGAGGCTTTTCAGAAAATAATATCTCTACTAAAGCAGGCACCTTGTTTAGCTTTTTACCATTCAAATAAAAAGATTATAGTCAGTTCAGATTCAAGTTTAAATGGCTTAGGTGTAGCACTTTTTCAGGCTGACGACTCTGGAAACAAAAAAATTGTGACATGTGCATCCAGAACTCTTACGCAGAGTGAGCAAATTGAAAAAAGAATGCTTGGGATTAACTTGGGCATGTGAGAAATTTAGGGAGCATATTTTGGGACTTCCAAAAATATATTTAGGAACAGACCACAAACCGTTAATTCAAATTTTGTCTACAAAAAATTTAGACGATCTAACTCCGCGGTTACAGCGTTTCGAATTCGATTAACGCGATATACTTATACTGTTATCTATACACCGGGTAAAGATTTGACTGTGCCTGATGCGTTAAGTCACAATCCTCTAAAGTATACCTAACCAGATGAGTTGCGAAGTGACGCCGACACACATGTTTCTATGATAATAAAAAATTTACCAATTAAAGACCAATTTTTAAAACTTATGGCGGGGGAACAAAGGAAAGATCCGGTTTGTAAAAAATTGATCGAGTACTCCTCAACGAGTAGGCCTGAGAAACATCAACTTTCACCCGATTTGACTTCTTATTATCAATATAGAAATGACATTTCTATGAACGAAAATTTCTTACTCAAAGGTACGCGTAAAATCATTCCACTCACACTGCAAAAGCAAGTTTTGGATTTTATTCATTTAGGCCATCAGGGCATAACGAAATGCAGAGAGAGAGCAAAAATGAGTGTTTGGTAGGTAGGCCTTTCTACACAAATCGAAATTTTAGTAAAAAATTATTCAAACTGAAGAGAGAATTAATATTAAAGAACCGTTTCAAAAAGATACAAATATCGCGACTAGACCCTGGCAAAAAATTTGTGTTGATCTGTATAAATGTCACGAATAATAACAGATTATTATTCTTGCTTTTTTGAAATTAGTACTCTTGGACAAAAGAGGTTTTTGCTCGCTAAGGGATTGCTGAAGAGGTGCGAAGTGACAATGGTCCTCAATTTTCGAACGAATTTAATGAGTTTGCTAATAAATGCAATTTTAAACATATCACTTTGAGCATTCGGTACCCACAATCCAATGGAAAAGTCGAGTCTACTGTCAAAATTGCAAAAAATGTCATTAACAAAAATAAAAATTCTTTTTTAGAAGCTTTGCTTTCATACAGATGTATTCCTCTTGGAAATGGTTTTACACCGGGAGAACTTTTAACGTTGCGCTCAACTTTACCGATGTTGCCAAGCAAATATGAGAAATTAATTGACACCACATCACCCATTGAATTGGGGGAGGAAAGAAAGGGAAAAGAAAAGGCAATTTAAATATTAAACTGAGTATTTAAAATGATCAAAGAACGATATACATTCCTACAGTCTTTTGTCGGAACTACATCATTCATTATCATTGTTCATGTAGTCGAAATTGCTGACGTTTCGCCAATCATCCTGTTGGTTTCTTCGGAGCAGAGCAGTTTCAGTCAAGCTCTGAAGAAGCCAACAGGATGATTGGCGAAACGTTAGCAATTTCGACTAAGCAAAAACCGACGAAGGAGGAATCCAGAAGTTTTCTAAAAAGCACGGGTTAAAGATGTCAAAATGTGTTAATTTCAGGTGCGGGAAAATTTGGACCCCTTCGAAGGTATTTTAAATATCATTTCGCATCTTAAATAAATTTTATTT